ACTCGTGCCATAGGCAGCTGCTCCATAGCTCCCTTGAGTGTAACCATACTGGCTCTGTGCTGCCCCAAAAGCAGAATTTGGGCTCCCGTAGGCACTGCCATAGGTCTTGTTGGCTCCGTTGGCATAACTGTCACCACGCTCACGGTCTCTGAAGCCACCTGAGTCTCTCCGGCCCTCTTTCACTCCCCGGAGCCTCCTGTCACACTCTTCCTGGTACATCAGGTTAGGGTTGTTTACTGAACTGCTCGTTCGGTAACGAGAACGACCTCCTGGCGATGAATATATTAAGATTTAGTACCATGAACAAGTTTTAAACAATGAACTCTGGTACAATTATGCCACCCTTTCTCCCCCTTCTACATCCACAATTTTGCCCACAAGGAGAGTTCTCTTGACTGACTGTAACTTCCCTGCAGAGCTGTGCGTATGTCTGTTCGTTTTGTTCAAGGTATAAATATGAAGTTCAAAAAGGGTTCTTAATGCTCAGAGACAAAGAAACAAAAGAAACTCAGGACTAACTTGGAACACAAAGAAACTTACTACTACTTCAGGGAATGGGAGCAAAAATAGTCCCCGAAAGTCAAGTCAGTGTAAGCATTTGCTGATTTCAATTTCACACGTGTACGCACACACACATCCTGCTGCCTATGCTTAGGTAGGAACTGCAAAGAATTAATTAACTCAAGCATTAGCTCTGCGAGGGCCTTAACAGGAGAAAAAAAAAATTCTACAGCTAAGGTGAAACAGTGGACTGCCTCTTTTTTGGACAGAAATCTACATAATGTGTTGAGATCTCGGTACAAACCAGCTTTATTACTCATCAGCTGTTTGTTACCTTAGACTCACACTTACTACTTCCCTACCCTCTTTTCACCTTCCCTCCCTCAAAAAGGGGAACCTATTCCCTGTGTAGCCCTTTTCCCATGTGCCTTTACCTCCACCACCACCTCCTCCTCCTCTGTGGTCCACAAGCTGCATCAGTTTTGGATTGATGGCTTGATTGGCTTCTTCCAACACTTTGATCAGCTCCCTGGCTTGTTTCAGGTTTCCTGGTGTGAAGAAGGTGTAGGCAGTACCTTTGTTGGTACTACGTGCGGTACGGCCAATACGGTGCACGTAATCTTCAGAGCTGTTCGGATAGTCGTAGTTTATCACAAATTTAACATCTTCCACGTCTTGAAGTGCCCAGGTGCGAAGCACAGTGAAGGGGTGGGGTTGAGGAAAGGGGAGAAGAAGAGAGGACGTGCCAACGAAAGGTGGGGAGCACGAATGCAGGTGACAGTAATAAGAAAAAAAAATACAAAGTTAGTAATTGCATAGAATAAATACAAGACAGACTCATCCCAAAAGAGTAGAAGACTCCAATTTCAGATCATCAGGAACAAAGATCAGTGTCCTGAGATACAGTAGTAATTTTAAAGCAGTTTTGCCCTGCGCTCAAATTCATCCTCCCCAGAATGCATTTCTCCATCTTCATGTGTCAAAGACACTGATGCTTGTGAAGGAGCTAATCAAATTTCCTGTTTTTTAAAAAGCCCACAATCTGGGAAGTGAAAATGCCACCATCAGACAGAGCAAACTGGGGCAGAGGAAGGGCAGAACTGCCATGGTAAAGCTTTTACTCTGTTGGGAGAAGTCTAACAAATAAGAATGGTAATGAGATCACTTACCTTCCACTTGGTAACATGAAACAAAAGGCAATCTTAAAAATATTTACTTTTACAGTCCTAATAAAATACAGTTAACTACTTTCCCTAGCCTTAAGACACTCCAATTACATTAGTATTATTCAGCCAACTTATTAAAAATTATTCAGACCTAGAATATCTTCACTTAGCTTTCTAGTTACCACCAGAATGCATTGCACTAACATTTCACCATGCTGTTCCGTCCAGTTCTGGCAAGCTTTCATAATTTGGACAATCCTGAATGCCATTAACAATTCCCTACTTCCAGTGACAGATGGAAGCAGGAAATTAAATTCTCAAAATTGCTTTATATACAAAATAACATTAAAATTTAGGAGATCAGAACTTCACGCCTTTTGGAAAGTCAGATTTCATAGGGGACAAAAACAAAGTAAATGTTAGTGTAACACTTCAGTGAAAGCACCTCAAGTACCAAAAGCACCTATTTGCTATAGTATTTGATACTTTAAAAAGCACGGTATTACAGTAAGTGCCCTAACAGCTCATTAAAAAAAAAATTAAAAATCTGCATTTTAAGAAGAATATTCTGAAAATATCCAAGATAAAACACAGATTTTTGTGATTTCTTTTTTGTTTTAAAGAGAGAAACATTCTCTGTTTGTTACCAGACCGATGCACACTCCCTCCTCCTGTGGGAAACCGCTGCAGCCGATCCCGTCTCTTTGCCTTTTATTTTTGGCGGCCTCCTTTCGAAAACTCCGCCCTCTGACACGGGACCACTGGAGCGCGGGGAGCATGCATCAAGGGTCCATGGCAGCGAGAAGTCCCCACACACGCTCGCTCTGTGAACTGGCTTAGACGCTTCTCTGTAGCCCCATTTGGTTGTGAAGCGCCGGAGAACCTGGGTTCAGGTAAAAGTTTCAGGTCCTCCAACGCTTTTTGGCCCCTACTCGGGGTTCTTAGGGGGCAATTGTCAAAAAAATGAAGATACAAAAATTACATCCAAAGGGTCAGACTGCATCTATTGCCCAGACTGCATCAATTTCAAAGGGGTTGTAGGAAAAATAAAAACAAGAGGGTTGTAGTGACAAGAGGGGGACTTTATGTCTGTTTCTTATTACAGCAAAGGGGGGGGCTCCTCAGTCTTTGCTGACTCCAAAGTCCTGAATCACACCAAAAAAAAGGGAGTGAGAAGGCAGGTTTCACAGGGGGCTGCGCGAGTCTCCAGCTAGGGTCCTTGATGCAACAGAGTGGTTTTTTTAAAAGGGGAAAGCGAAGTAAAGAGAGGAGTATGTATGACAGATTGCATCTTCACAGCCAGGGTTGTAACTAGTCTGACAAGCTGCAGGCTACATGATCCTCAGTCAGTCCTGTTTTGCACATCCATCAGTAGCAAAGCGACTTGAATGACCACAGAGGATACAAGGACGTGCTTTCCCGGCAGAAAGCACAGGGAATTGTAGCTACCAATGTAGACGGAATTGACTTGACTGGGGAGGAGTGGGAAGAATGGGAAGGCAGGAAGAGGAAAATGCAAGGGTGTTTTCCAGACTAGAAAGTGGTCCTGGTAGAGCACACAGCTTGCTGAAGAAAGACCAGAGCAAGTACAAGACTCTGCTTCTCCAGTCTAGCATGCTCCAAAGTCTTTGCGCACACTCGCAATCTTCCTGCGCTATTAGAAGATAATGTAGCAGGATCAAGAATTGAAACTGTACATCATTTTTGACAGCTACCTGGGAAACATTCCCTTTGTCAGACCATCAGAGTACCCCAAGGCACAGACAGTCTCCGATTATTAATCAGGAGAGATATAAACTAGCAAACATGCTAGTCTAGAGAGCTGTTTAGACCATCAATGTAGATGTGCCCCCACCCCTGCACTGAGAATGATCTGCAGCTGATATCAAAGCTTCTGTTAAAGAAAACAAAACAAAACAAATTCAATGTTTTTAGTTTAATAGACTGAACAAAAAAATAAAGTAAAAAAAAAAATATATCAGTGCAGAGAGAGGACCTCACTCCAGGGAATTATCACAAAGAAGTCATTATGGGACTCAGAACTTACCTGGAAGAAGCTTTTTTGAAACCAATGTTCCATTAGGAAGAGGGAAAGCCCTGGTGACTCAGCCAAAAGGCGCGCGCCCCTGTTTTATGTTATTTAGGTAGAAGCCTTCACTTTCCAGGATCTTGGAGGAAGTCGTCCAGAAGTTTGCCAGTTAAGTGACTTATTTTAAGAAGCAGCAAACTCAGGGCCCCAAAATAAGCAGAGATGTTGTTCAGTAACAAGAAACAGACTCTGGTACCTTTCCCCCTTAGCTCAGGTGAAGTGGAAGACGGGAAGTGGGGAGACTGTTTTCTGAAGTGTTATCCAATTGAGTAGTTTTGGGGGGAGTGTTTTTTTGAGGGGGGTGAGGCTGTTTTAAATGTCTAGGCAAGATGCACAAAGAAGCTACCAGCACATAGCAAGCCTGTTTAAAAAACGCTGCTAGAGAAAGCAGCTCTCTTTCATACAAACTGGTTTCAGGCCTCAGTCCCTTCTCCCAACAGGCCCAAGTTCTAACTGCACAGGTCCAGACATGACCCTAGAGGGCAGAGACTGAAGTCCATATAATCACCTCTCCGAGGAAGTGTTGGACATTTTTTGAGGGGGGAGGGGAAGGAGGGGTGAAGGTTGTGTGAACAAAGGCTGCCAAGTCTAGTGATGGTCTGCCTGTATTAAAGTGACCATGTGATGCACAGCACAGCCACCCTTTCCACATACGAAAAAAAGAGAACTCAGATAACTGAGATGTTTAACAGCTAGAGATTTTTCTGAGCTTATTTGCAATGACTTGCAGTAATTTTGTCTAAAATTTACTACAGCGAGACATCAACCCCCGAGTAGTTCATCTTCTACCAAACTCAGGGAAGGGACAATATTCAATGTCCATTATTAAACTCAGAGCACTTCAGAAGTCATCCTCCTCTTCTAGAGGGGACAGAGGTATAAGAACTGTGCCTAGCACACAAAGCGTTTCACAATACAAATACGGTTCTTAAAAAAGGGGGCACGACTGATGCATCCAGACAGATCATTTTCATACCACCAGAACAGAGCTGTGGAATTTTGATTCAATTACACATTTGGGTAACACGACATTAAAGGCCATATATATCTCAGTGGTCCTGCCTAGAAGGAACACAGAGGAGGGACAGTTATATGTCAAGACCAAAGATCTGGAGCAGTGCTTTCTCAGATGTGAATACATCTGGGGGCAGGGGGTAAACATGCATGTACACTGGGGTTGGTATGTTCAAATCTGTGGTGTGTCATACGGGGAGAATATTAGCTATTTGCTGTTGAAATGCTCTCCCACAACTTCCTACTTGAACTTTATCTGACACGCTCTGAACTGAGAGCAATCCATCCCTATCATCCAGCAACAAAAGCTGGATTTGGGGAAGAAGTGAGTGTGGTGGAAGGGTTGGGTTGCATAATTGGACGTCTCTTCTCCCTCTTGGCGATCGATTGGTCATGCCTAGGCCTTGCTGCAGACCAAAGCCTGTTCATTAGGAGCAGGAAGAGACTTTGAATATGAAAGAAAAAAAAAAGATTAATGTTAAAAAACGTATTTCACATGTGGGGGAAAATCACGCTTTGAATTTTTTTTTTTAAAAAAAGAAAACATATTTCAGTCCAAAGAAGAAAAATATGCAGCAGTAGGCAAGAGTGGTCTATGTGTACAAACCTAGCCCACGAGATGCAACGTCGGTAGCAATGAGGATAGGAGCCTTTCCAGAACGAAACTCTGTAAAACAAAGCATGCTATGAAGTAAGATTTTTCAAAAAGGTAAAGTTACCTGAACTTGATTTACACTAAATGCTCACTTTCCAGAATCTAGGGAAGATGGGTCAATTTCAGAAACCCCAGCAAGTCAGGATATAATGTGTCAAGTATTTTTTAAAATCCAGCTCTCTGGGTTAAATAATTTTTCAATTGTGTTGTCAAAAAAAAAAGTAAACACAAATACTGAAATTAACAGTACAAAGGCAAAGGAAGTTCTTTTGAAATACATCTATTGGATAAAGAAACCAAAAAAAAAAAAAAAAAAGACAACTGGAAAAAAGCATGTCTTGGTAAATTACGTACAGCAGCCCGAGTTATTCTCCCCTCAGTGACGGACTCACCATTAAGCACCCAATCTCTTTCTGGCTGACTCTTGTCTCCATGGATACACATAGCTGGCCAACTGCCAAACAGAGATGCACATTAGTATAGACAGAAATTACACACATTAAAGGCAACAGGAAATATTTTATTCCCTGTCCTCCTCTGGCCTTTATCTACCTAGCACATCTACTGGTTTATTTCTTGCATGTTAAAGCCACTACCTACATCAATCACCTAAGCCAAATCGCATTTGCTGTATCGATACAGTCCCGATCAGCGTATCTGTATTCTGATACACTAAAAGCTGCCCAGCTTACAAACTCTCTTACACTAATGCTTTGATGGACTGGAATCTTCTGAGAAAATAAGACTGAATTCAGCCAAGAAAAGAATGGACAAGTTGTTCCGAACAATAGCATCACGAGCATTTAAACCTTACTGCTTTTGATTACAGTTTCTGTTTCGCACTAGAAACAAGGGGAGGGGGGGGGGGAAGCTAATCACCCATCTCTGCGCATCCTTCGAGTGAGATCATCACATCGTCTTTTTGTCTCCACAAAGATGATAGTCTTGTTTTCCTTCTCTGCCATGATTTCTTCCATCAGTTGTATCAGTCTAAAATAAGACATGAGAGCCAAGATGTATATCCACGTATACAAGAATATAGAAGCACTCTCTCAACTTAGACTGAGAACATATACAAGACACATCCATATAAATAAGTCAGTATCACTTACACAGAATTTAGGTCTGTTGTATAACGGTACGCTTTAAAATATACGCAACAGACTAGTTAATTACAGGACTTACTTATTTTGTAACAGTCAAAGGTTAAATAATAGCACAAGTAACTTCACCATTTGGAATTCGTATTTCGCTTTCAAAGCAACAGATTTTTTAAGTACAAGCAAAAACTGAAACAGTAGGAAAATCAGCTTACTTATGGTCTTTCTCGCTTTCCATGCATACATCCACTATCTGCAGGATATTGTGGTTGGCACTCAGCTCCAAGTTTCCCACATTGATCTGAACGTAGTCCTGCAGGAAGTCCTCGGCAAGCTGGCGCACTTCTTTTGGCCAGGTGGCACTCCACATCAGAGTCTGTCTGTCAGGCTAAGAAAAAAGGGAAAATGGATTTATTTAAGGTACTGGACTTTGAATGGGAAACCAAAGGAGGCTGTCCTTTTACAAGGTTCACACACCCTTATCTGGTCAACAATTTTACGAATTTGGGGTTCAAAACCCATGTCCAACATCCTGTCTGCTTCATCCAGCACCAGGTATGTACACCGACGAAGGTTGGTCTTTCCTGCCTCAAGGAAGTCAATCAAGCGACCTGGTGTAGCAATGCAGATCTCCACACCTTCAAAACAGAATGAGGAAAAAGAGTAAGGCTCTTCATTTGAATGTCAATTGGTATTTTTAGTCAGAATGAATCACCTTCCAGAGCAAAACTGTGTTTAAAAAAAAAAGCACCACCCTCATTCGTACCCAAGATTGAGTCATTTCAGTAGAAGCCCTAGTTTCTTTTAATATTTTTTCCATTCTGAAATTACTGTTACAGTGCAATTAGAATAATAAATGCAGTATAGGAGCTAAAAGCTTATGTCAGAAAACACCAGCATAGAGCTGTCCAAAAATCAGAAGTAAAATAAGCTTCTACTCAAGCCTGACCCACCTTCATCCAAAATTATACAGTCTAAAGAGCTCTCTAGAAAAATGAGAGTGAACTCCAGCTAAACTCCCCATGTTAAACAAACATGAAATGCTCCTCTTGCTGTACAAGTCAAATTATTTCCACTTTTTTTTTTTTCTTTCTTAATATATAAAGCCAAAACATGGCTTTAACACTGTAATTATGCACCAATAGTGACAGACAACCACCCTGCCCATATCTGTTAGCATAAAAACAGAATTCAAATATTCATAAACTAGTTTCAGGTATGGCAATTTATACATTCCTTAGAAGAAGGGACTGGTTTCCACCAATTCCCAAATATTACAGGTGAGTTCTTCAGTGTCACTGAAATGTCCACAGAAGGCAAGTTTAGGTAAGCAGTGAGGTGAAACAGCTTGATACTCCCCTTACAGATGCAGAGTATTTTGTGGCAAACCAGATATTATTGTCTGTGTCAACCTGGACTCCTCAGAGCTGTGAAAGCTGGGCATACTTCCAGTTTCTATAAAACTCATGCAAGAATTAGATTTCTAATGCAGCCATTAGTCTGCCAGGGAGACTGAAGAAACTGCAATCTCTGTTGTCAACAATGTAATCCTCCAAAGTAAATTCAGTGAATGCTCAAAAAATCATAACTGAGGAAAAAAAAAAAAATGTTTTCTGGACTCTATCTATTCAACAACCTTTGCTGCAGAAAATACTAAGTGATCGTGCAAAGACAGTAACGTCTGAAAGGACTGAAAGCACTGAGACTGCCCACATGCTCCAACCAAACGGTTCTTCATAAGCAGGAGAACGTCTATTTTACAGCACTCCAGAAAGGTGTGCAAAACCCCACTGAGCTGATCCTCCCAAGGACTCTTCATGTAACCTTTGACTCTTCCACTGAAGATGCTACTTTTGAATTTGAATGTGCTACCATTTTCTTCAACAGAGCTACCCCACAGACTTCTACCACACACCCCTTAGTCCCATTACTGCAGTTTTCAATAATGACTCTACAAATTGCAGTGGTAAGTAAAATTTTCCGATTTCTTGAGTAGATCAGTATATATAAGCTTACCTTGATAATACTTCTTGCATCTTTTCACAGAATTCTATTACTTTTTTTTAAATCTAGTGAAGATGAAAGCCAACAGCACATTCCTGCATTTGAAATTGTATGTTACTAGCCCTTGACATGAAGGTTAGGTCACTTGAGTGCTACTGTGTTACAATGGTTGCTGTAGAACCATGGTTGCTCATCATCCCCCAGTCCAGTCCCTTGCTATGTACAGAAAGTCAGTCATAGAACGTAATGGGGTTCATGAACAGAAAGAGAGTTTAGTGCTTAAGAACAATAAAAAACCCCACAAAACCCACTGTCTAAAGAAGTTTCTATACATTCAGAAATTAAGTTTGATTATTTGAAAAAAAACCCCTGCAATCTGGCTTAAGGGAAAAAAAAATAATCATTATTTAAACTTGCTGCTACTCTATTTCCTCAAAATAACCTGTTCTCTTCCTGGTAAGTTTCCTTTCCCCCTTCCTATGTCCTGACGATCTTCATAAGTGGAAAGTTCAAAGACAAAACAGAAAGAAATCTAATATCCAAGTAAGTCACTATACAACAAAGAAGATAAATACTACATGCACCATCACTGTAACTGCAGAAAGAGATAGTCGCTCATTCATGCGCACACCCCTTCCAAACAGGTTTTAAGATGATAGCTTTATTTTTACAGAGATTTTACAATACCACTTCCTCCAGAAACTACAAACACTTGTTTTAAAATTACCTCTTTCTAGATCTCTGATTTGGGGACCTTTGGGTGCTCCTCCATATATGCAGGTACTCTTCAGTCTTGAACATTTGCCATAATCATCAGCCACCTGCTGCACTTGCTGGGCCAACTCTCTAGTAGGTGCTAGAACCAGACACTGCAAAAGGAATCAATTCAGGATAGCCAAGCTGCACACACATCCCTAAGTTAAGGGCTCCACACAGACACCATAAGCAAAGTTGGACCATCTGCTCTTTATTAGCTAAAACATTTAAATATCTTTAGACTATGTCAGCAATTGCACAGAATTTCCACTAATGAGTGGGATGTTCACATTGCGATAGTAAACATTTCTCTACTTGTTATTCTGATATACCAATTAAATAAAGTACACAGCTCATTAATGATGCCATGCCATACACACAAAAAGGAAGAGAATTGACAAGCACTTACAATTGGGCCATCCCCTCTCTCCAAATATGGCTGGTGGTTGATGTGAACAATTGCAGGCAACAAGTACTGAAACAGAAGAACTTTACGTCAAGACACAGGACTTCAATATTCAGTGCCCATGATCACCTGCCATGACAACTGGATCACAGCAAGAGCCCACTTAGCCTAACATCCCTTCAAGAAGCCAACACCTGATGTGAGGGACAGCAAGAAATCTTGGCTATATACAAATCAGGGTTCTGCAAACCCAGATACTTGTTATTCAACGGAATATAAGATTTTCAGAGCTGCTGAACAACCACACCTGCTTTGACATCAGCACAAAATATAGTTGCTCAGCACCTCTGAAAGGCAGGCTCGTTTAAATTTGAAGTCTAAGTTAGTAGAATCAAGCAACGCTGGCTGTAACTAATGCTTTTCATAAAGGATAAAATTCTTTCTCAACAACTGCAAACAAATTATACCTTGAAGACTCAACCACCATTCTTTAACTTGCATAGTTAATAAAACAAATATGCTAAAGAGCACCTACTGTTTTTTTAAACCACAATGTAAGCATAGACAAAAAGAAGTGACTAAGCATGCAAAAAACAAAGGCACACACAAAATACATGCCTGTGAATAGGACAGGCTAGTTGAGTTGATACTTCTCACCCATGATGCAATAAAGCAAGCTTTAAAAACATGTAATCATCTCACTTTATGCTTGTAGTACTGACAAGCCCAAAAATTACTAACAAGTAGCCAAGGGTAAGTTTTGCAAAGCAACTAGGAAAACTAACCAAATAAATAAAAGGGAATACATACTGCTAGCGTCTTCCCAGAGCCAGTCTGTGCAATGCCCACCATATCACGACCACTGAGGGCTAGTGGAAAGCCTTGGCACTGAATTGGAGTGGGTTCTGTGAAGTTCTGGTCCATCAAGGCATCCATCACATACTCTAAGAATTTAAGAAAATAAAAAAAATTATTAAAGGTTAACTGAGGCTTCAGAAGACCTTTTAGAAACAGAACAGGCCTAAACAGTTACTGTTTTTTAGTAATTCTCATTATCTTAAAGAACAGCAAAATACTTACGTGGAAAGCTACACTGGTGGAAGGCAAACACAGGCTTGGGGCAGCCCTCCATTCCTCGAATTGTTATCTCTTTCTTTCTTCGCAATTCTTCAACTTCATACTATTTATGTGGAAAAAAAAATAATATGCAAAGACAAAGGTCAAACATCAGCACGGACTTAAAAGCGCACGTTTCTAACTATCAGTTCACTTCACACCTCTATATAACAGCTTCATTAGAGAACTGAACTGAAACAGAAGCCTAAAAAGGACTGCTTTCCTAAGGATTTTATCTTGAGATTGAGCTATCACACAGCTTCCGCAATATTCAGAGGTATGACCTATGTAGTCTAGAAGGACTAATGTCTGTCTCTCCTTCCAACCAGCCCTTTTTAATGAAAAGTATATTAATATAGTATTTTTAAGAATTTTATTCTTCTTCCAGAGGTCAGAAATGATCAACAGCTTCAGAAGTGATTAGAAACAGAGGATAAGAAACATGTTTTTTGTGGCAGTGATAAGAATTAAACAAAATAAATAGGCTGCAATATACTATGAACAAGCAGAAGGCAGGACAGGCCCACTCCTTCAATTAACACATTCCAGAGGTGCTTAAATACTGAGCTCTTGCTGGACAACCTGCAACTCAGAAATGTTGCTTGGAATCTTTTGGAACCAGTACTTTTTTTCCTGCATGGAAGAAGTCCAGGCAAAGTCACAGTGATATCCTAGGACCTCACAATTTTTTTTTATTAATGGAACTCCTTAAAATATTTCTGAAATGTGTATCTACATGAGCATAATTTTAGGATTATGAAAAGTGGTTTATCTTTGTCTAGGTTACCTTGCAAGTCCAACTGCATTTTGCAACATGCTTCCACCATTCATGACCTTATTCTAATGCTCATTAAAAAATCAATAGAAAGATATACATCAACAGCAAACATGCACTTTATCCAAAGCAATAAATTCACTATCTGTGAGAATCTCTTGAGCTTGAATGAAAAGGTAAAAAAAGAAAACAAATTCTGGGAAAAACATGAAAATCCTTTTAGCTGGCTAAGGCAAAGACAGCTACAGCAGCTAACACTTTCAGCAGTTCAAGTTGTTGTCTCTTTAAAAAGCCAAGGACTCCTTCAGCTCCTTTATGCCATATAAATATCTCATGAATATTTCACATGAAGATCTGTAAGTCTATGTAATTGGATAATAACATTTTGTTTGTTTCCTTGTGCTGAAAATGAAATCTCTTAATTTTTAAATATAAAAAGATATTAAAGAGAAAAAAAATACTCTAGACTCAGGTGGGGTAGGAAAGGGAGACTACTGTATCTACAGAGTAAATACAAAGTACTGCATCCAGTTTTGAGCCCCCAGTGTAAGGAGGACATTGTTTTAACAGGGCATGTCCAATTATAGGGGCAAAGCTAGAGGCCGGAGCACAGGTGGTACAAAGAAAGACTGGGAGCACTGGATTTGTTTAGCTTGGGAAAGAGAGACTAACACGGGAATTTAACTGCTACTTTCAACTACCCAATGAATCGCTACAGAGAAGATGATGTTGCAAGTAATTATTGGGGGGCAGGGGGGGAGGATGGAATACCATGAGAAATGTTAAGCCCTGGGACAGCCACCCAGAGAGGATATAAACTCTCCCCATCCCTGGGGAATACTCAAACTCAAAAGGACAAGGCACTAAGCGAGCAACCTGCTCTAGTTTTGTAGCTAGCCCTGCTCTGAGCAGAGTATTAGACTACACATCTCCCATGGCCTCTTTTAGCCTGAATTACTATTATTATGATGATGATGATAAAATATTATTTCAAATGTTTATCATATATTTCTGCCACTCTTAGTTCATTATTTTAGGTTCTTTCAGGGCCTCCCCAGTACTGCAACTCTCAAGCCCTCTAAGTGTTATCTGCACTGATGAATCGTTAGACCAGACAAGCATTATGATGCTGAAATACAAATGGCTAAACGTAAAATATCTCTCATAAAACCAGCTAAGAGCAGAAGCCTCACCTTTGCTAATGTTAAATACTGAAGGCAACTAGAACCGGTATCCTGCAGAGTGCACACATACCAAACAAGTTTAATGAAAAGACAGTCCTATTAGACTCTGTCCCAGACTTCCTAAGACAAGTTTTTCCACTTGTGACACTTCCTGTTCTAGGCAAAATTGAACAGACAGGATCTGAAAACTTACCGGAGTAAGCCTGGCCACTTCTGGATGTTCCACGTAAAAATTCTTCTCAAACTTGGGCAGTTCATTCAAATCCCATTTTTTCTTACGCAAACGTTCCCCTGGATTACCAAATTTCTTTGGAGGAAGAGGACCTCCACGACTTGCTCCAAACCTGGGAATGTCAATGTTGGTTATAAACAAGAGTATTTAATTACTCTAGAATTTGCAGTTTTCCTAATCATTTTCCACCCTTTTTTTCCTCTCTTCAAGTTCACACATGAGCACAATATTCTAGCAAAAGTCACTCTGCCTCTCCCTCCTCCAATCACTATGATGGCGTATAACTTCTTGAAATAACACAAACCTGCTCTAAGTCAGTTCTAAACCCAAAACCATTTTAAAGTTTCCTTCCAATACAGCTATTTGTAAGTCACTGCCTTAAAGCTCCTGTCTCTAGGTTTCCACCTCAAGGTTCCCTCCCTCGGGAAAATGCTGTAGGTACAGCTACAGCACTTATGTTTTATTGAAGCTGACAGTACACTTAAAACATGGTTAGATGAAAGGGATGAGAAAAACCTCTAATCACAAGCTCCGTCTATCTCTCTCAAGGTTCATTTTACATAAAAATAGCTACTTCACTGTCTCCCCCTCCATGTCTTCTCTCCTTTCTTATCAAGCACTGTGTTTCAAATGAAAAACAAAAGGGTGAGGAACCGAAAGTAAAGTCCAGCCAAACCTGCAAGTCCCTCTGTAATTCTGGAGCCAAAGAAATTAAAAATAAAATAAAAATCTTTTTAAAGCTGAGTCTAACAAAGCGGAGGGGGGAAGTACCTGGGAAAAGTTATATCCTCTCTCAAATGCTTTTGATGAAGACTCAGTAGAGTAAGAAGTTAATGTTTATCCTGCTAAAAAATTCCTAACTAGCAGAACTACTCAGAAGTTACTGCTCTTTCTCTCACCCAGTTTATTTAATACACTTAAGAAGGTTAAGAACTAACTGTAATGACTAACTGATGCATTCGACAAAACACAAGCTTCTAGCAATAACTTGTAAGAGTAATCGAAAACCAAGCGGCATAAAATGATTATTTACTGTAACTATTAAAAATTATGTATTTCAAAATTCCACAAAAAAGTTATAGCTGTTTCATTAGTATCATAAACACAGCAGAAGGTACTTTTCAAAATACCATCAGATCAAATTTTGTCCTGATGCAGATTTGGTTAATAAAGCTACAACTTCTTGCAAAACATGAATTCATGAGAAATGCCCGTTTAAAACAAGAGTTTTATGTAGATAGCAACTCCAAAGTGTCTGCAACCTTACCCAGGCAGACCGCTATAAAAAACTGTTAATGAAACAAACCGAAAGCAACCTTCTTACACTAGTAACTTGGGGGTTGCTAAAAAATAAAGAACATCAAAATAAATTTCTGAATTATCTTAAGGACAAGACTATCTGTTCAGACATTAACTACATTTGTTCTTTAAACCACTTCCCAATGGAAACTACAAATTATAGTGATTAAGAGACCAAAAAAAATCAGAACTCAAATCAATATATTAGCAGGAAAAAGGGGTTACATTGTTGGAAAAGTATGGCAGATACAATTTAACTTAAAATCTGCTATGTAAGTTTTAAAATGTTTGCTTTGTTGCAACTGGTTCATTAAATCTCTTCCCTCTCCTATAAATATCCCTTATTTTCCCATCAGTATGTCGATCATATCCCCCAGACAGCCTGCACAATCAGAAATTTTTGTCATATGTAAAGACTGTGAAACACAACTTCAAAAATTAATTTAAAAGTTACATTTTCTTTCATGACCAAGTTAAAAGCAATAGTACAGATTTTCATTTACAGGGTCATTCACCTTTACGGAAGATGTCTGCTACTGATCAGGCTAACTGGAGGTCAAACTATTTCTGTATCCAAGTAGTTCTAACAAAACCCACGCTCTCACTGAAGTCAGCTGGAGGTTCAAAGGGCCAATGCGTTTCTTTATGAAAGGAAACATATGAAAGAACTGATTGCAAGACTGGACACTGAAACAGCTGGGTATGATGAATATTTGCTCCACAGCTATCCAGAGGGAAGGATCAATATATTTTACATAGAAGTCACATAGTTTCAGTTCTCCATTCTTATACACAATATGGCTGTATGCTGACCTGAAAGAAGTGAGCCCTGCAGCAGTCCTGAAACGCTGCCTCTGCTGAAGTTCATCCGCTAAACTGGCAGCAACTGACACTTTACATTCCGATTACAAGTAAAATGAGATTCCAGTTCCAGTTAATCTGATTTAAATCTAAGATTATTCCACTGGTTTGCCAAGAGTTCTCTTTTCAAGTGTAAATTCAGACTGACCCAAAACATTCTTCTCTAATACTACTGGTGTCATCATTTCTGAGACAGAACTGAGTGAATTTGTTAAATTCCAGAGCAAAACAGTACAACTTTCCATTCTAAGAAGCTGCCTACAACTCATTCCTGACAGAAAGAAAACAGAAAGCCTGTATTTATTTAGTTTACAGAGAATCAGGACTGAGGTGATAAGCTTTCAAATGGCACTTAACTAGCATGCTGGGTGGCCCAAAATTTTATAGAGTTTATTTATGCAGTACGATGGGTGTTAGTGGTTACAAATATTTTCACACCTCAAATGGACACGTGTAACCAACTGAATCCTGACACATTAAAGCTTCCAGGATAATATGCCAAGAAAACGATTTTCTATGCAAATGTCCAAAAACTTCACAAAGAAGTGCTCCTTTTACTTATGCAAAACCCCGGATTTAAAAACGAAGCATCTGTCTATAATCAAAGTCTTTAAAATGAGATTACACAAATTTTAAGGCACGCCAAGTGTTGTGACAATGCTTTGGACGGTGTTAAATAAGTGTATATAAATCTGCATACTCAGACTCACTCACTAAACTCCAAAAACAGCTGGGGTCTGAACTATCTCAGACTTGCCAAAGCATTTACTCCAATGTCCTTGTGTTAAACTGAACTGGAAATCTCATAGTGGAAAAACACCAGAACCCTCCTCTCTGAAAAAAAATGAAAGTATCTTTTAATTTCAGAGCGTGAAATGTGGGAGTAAGATAAAGCAAGGATACAACTATCTCTCTCCACAGACAAGAAACTCTATGTTAAAATGCATTGCAACATATAAACAAAATATTCCTGAATCTCCCAGTAGGTAGGGAAAACAAGGGGGGGGGGAGGAGGAGGGAACAAAAAAAGAAAAAGAGACTATTTATCAACTGAGATCTAGTCTGTCATATTAAGAATAACAGAACCCACATGACATGTTTATTGTTAATACTTGACAAAGTAGGTCTAACTATTTGTGATCTAAAGGACAGAAAATGCCACCCTCCTAAATTAGTTCTAACTTTCTCTCTAAAAAGGCCTGGGATGAATGTCTTATTACTTTCAACCCTTATAAAACCTCAAGTCTCACAGTAGTTATATACTACACTGCCACTGTATTTATTGCTGCCATCCTTGGAAGAAAAAAAATAAAATCAAACCTGCAAAAATCTATTCTTTTTAATAGCAGAATTAAGAGTATGAAGCAGTAGGCCTCTGCAGTGCCACACAGACAACTCCTGTCTGACTGCTACATAAGCTTGGTCATGCTCCTTAAGAGTCCAGGGCCATGTTTACTGAGATCACCCTCCCGAGTATTCAAGTTCCCCGCACGGCAGCACTTTTCAATCTCATTTCCTCTCACGATAAGCCTGGGAGTGCAACTGAGAAAGATCTTTCACCAACTGCCATCT